TCTTCCTTGTGAATATACCAAGTATATTCAGAGAGAACGAACTGATTATAACATAAAATGAATATGTGAGAATAATGTGGTGATTGATTATTTATTTATTTATTTTAATTTGAATGTATGAATTACAAAAAGGTACTTTCCACTTACAGATAGAAAATGACTCTGATTTCTGTCAGAGGGCTGCAGTAAAAAAAAAAAAAAAACCTAACCTAACCTAACCTAACCTAACCTTTTTTTTTTTTTTACATGGGGAAATGCCTACGCATACCCGCCTCGCGGGGGCAAGGACGGGTTATGTCGGACTCGCACCGACTAAAACCCCATGGTGTTCCACCCTCGTCGCATATTGGCAGGGCCACGGGAACGCTTTCGCACACTTCCGCGGCCGCACCTGCGCCGGCCACCCCATGGCGGCCCCTCCTCGGGAGAGGACCACTCCTCCCCCAGTAGGGCGCACCAGAACACATGGCGTGCCCTCCTCCTCGGCCTCCAATTTCATATGCGCAATAGACGCCCCCGCGTCTGATGCGCGAAGGCCATGGGGCCAGAAAAACCAGCACTAAGAAGCACCAGCCTTCCTGACCCCAGCGGCGGATCTGGTCTATGGCTCCGCCGCCAACCAAGATTCGGCTGCGGAGGGTAGGGAGAGCGGCGCCTCGCAATACCGACACTCCTCTCCCCCCGCAGCCCCACCACCACCGCATCATTCAACGGTGCGGCCCCGTCTGAGTCGCGGAGGATAGGGCGAGTGGCGCATCGCCATACCAGCACTCCTCTTCCTCCGCGACTCCACCTCGGCTGCAGCGGTAGAGGGTGCGGACTCCCCTCTCACCACAGCCCCCCGACACACATCCGAAGTGGGCTTCCCAAGCCCACTCGGAGTGGCCACCTCGGGCCGGCCCTACACCTCGGGCCAGCCAAGGGGTTCCTCTTCGTTCACCGTGGTTGACCAAGCCACGGCTACTAAGCCCCCCCGCCACGACAAGGCGGGAACCCGTTCGGGGGGGAACCTAACCTAACCTAACCTAACCTAACCAGAAATGTGTGTAGAAAGGCAACAGCGCTCTACAGCCAACTATCAAGAGCTGCAAACGTTAGTTGGGGCCTTCAGCCAGAAATTATCAGGGCTATATACATGGCGGTTGTTGAGCCAGTAGTATTGTACGCGGCGAGCGTGTGGGCACCGGCCGCTAGCAAGTTGGGAACAAAAAAAAAAGCAATTAAATGCTGTGCAAAGAGGATTCGCTCAGAAAATTATTAAAGCTTACCGGACGGTCTCCCTCCATTCGGCACTGGTATTGGCTGGCTTGCTTCCTCTAGACCTGAAGGTCCAAGAAGCAGCCACCCTTTTTGAGGTAAAGAGAGGTAAACACCGGTCAGTACTAGGGGACCGGGTGGTGGAGGCGATGGCGAGCTTTACGGAGTTGCCCCACCCAGCATCCCATAATATGGACCTGGAGTTCACACGCCTGGTGAACGAGCACGATATGAGACTCAACAACACCCAGAGTCTTCGAATATTTACCGATGGGAGCAAAATAGAGGGAAAGGTTGGAGCGGCATTATCCTTTTGGAAAAATGAAGCTGAGACCAGAACTCTAAAGCTCAAACTGTCGGACTACTGCACCGTTTACGAGGCGGAATTACTGGCCATATTAAGGGCAACTGAGCAAATCCTCAGTAGCAACGAAAAAAGTTTTGGGGTTTACAGTGACTCGAGAGCAGCACTCGAGACCATTGTCAACCAAGACACCAAACATCCCCTTGCAGTTAAGACTCGCAGAAATATACAGTCCATATCTTCGCAACAAAAAGTTATCTAATTATTCTGGATAAAAGCCCATGCGGGTCTGATAGAAAATGAGCGGGCCGATGAGTTGGCGAAACATGCTGCGTTGCGAAGTAAAGAAAAACCAGACTATGACCTTTGCCCAGTGTCATTCATAAAAAGACTCATCCGACTGGAGACCTTAGAAAAGTGGAACCAGAGATATATAGAAGGCGATACGGGTAAAATAACAAAAGTCTTTCTCCCAAATGCTATAAATGCATATAAGTTTGTAAGGGAAACAGCACTGTCTTCTACAATGATACAGGTCATGACCGGGCATGGTGGGTTCTCTGAGTACTTGCACCGATTTAAATGTAAGGAGAACTCATCATGTCTCTGTGAACCGGGAGTTGAGGAGACAGTGCTGCATATAATCATCAAGTGTCCCATTTTTGGTAAAGAGAGACAAGCGTTTGAAACATCGTTCGGTATTAAACTGGAAAGCGGCAACCTTTGGTCAATGTTGTTAGAAAGAAAAACAAGAACAAAGTTTATAAGATATTGTGAAGAAATTGTTAAAAGAGTCATTAAAAGAAATCAAACTTAAAATAAAAATGGCAAAATATAAGAATTGTGTTAAAATAAATAATATTAATGTAGAGAGCAATATTCTATGGAAAATTGTCGATATGTATATATATGTGTGTGTGTATGTATATATTTATGTATATGTAAGTGTATGTTTATATGTATGTATGTATTTGTGTATGTAGGTGTGTTTATATATATACAATGGATCATTCAAACAGATGTTAGAAAGCTTCGTGTATTACATCGGTGCTTCCTTGTGTCTATATCGCGTATAGACAGAGAGAATGCCCCGAATAAAATGTGATTTTGAAAAATAATAATTAATCAAGAAACTAATAACAATTAAGATATAAAAGGACTCTGAAATTAAATGTCAGAGGGCTGCAGCATAAAAAAAAAAAAAAAACCTAACCTAACCTAACCAACCATATCTTAGCTTATAACTTTTCTAAAACTTCGTCTTTTTTGTTCAAATTTTTTCTTAATAGTACAACTAATTGTCCTTCATATTACCCCATAGTTTTTTTGGTAAATTTTTACTGTTATATAATTAATTTTCACGTTTTTCATTCATTTATAGTCGAAAATATATAAACAAAAACATAAATTCATCTGTAACTTTGCTGAAAATAGGTCTTTTCTGTTCAAATTTTCTTTAAATAGTGTATTTAATTACCCCCTGTAATTCCTTATAGTTTTTTTATACCATTTTTACAGTTAAATTGCAAATTTTCAAATAATTCGTTTTCTTATAGACGTATTTTCAATAAATTTTTAAATTTTTTCAAATCTTCGTTTATTTCGCTCATTTTGCTTCAGTTAGGTCCGCTACGTGTAGAAACTGCCAAGTGCACTTATATCTGCAAAATAAAATACACAGAATTAGAGAAAATCGCCCTCCCTCCCTCCCGGTTTTCATTACTTAAGTAGATTTTCATAATTCTCATAGAAATAATAATTATTTTACGTCTTTTTCATTTAGAATTTCTTTTAAATAGTGTAGTTTAATCCCCTTTGTATTTCTACATAGTTTTCTTTATTAAGTTTCACGTTTAAATAATTGATTTTCATATTATTCGGTTTACTTATAGTAGTAAATTGATAAAAATTTTAAACTTTTTCAAGTCTTCGCTTATTTAGCTCTTTTTGATTTTATTAGGTCCGTCTGTGTAAACTGCCAACTGCACTTATATCAGCAAAATAAAACACACGGCATTAAAGAAAATCTCCCTTCCACCCTTCCAGTTTTCATTAATTAGGTTAATTCTTAGTCTTGTTTCAAAAATTTTTTTACATTTTACTATGATGTCCCAGCCTGAAATCATTGGTATGGATGTAGCTGTCAGTCAGAGTTTTACAGCTGCACAAAACATCTCTCAGCTGGCCAAGGACATTATCACCTGCATTCAAAATGGTAAAAGTGTTACAGCTGAAAGGAAAAGTAGCATTATTAATATGGCCAATGAAATAATGCAATTATCAACCCGTATTGAAGCTAGTTCTGGAAGTACTGACAGTGGACAAATTCAGAGTATTATTAAGGGGTGCATTAAAGAAGAGTTAGCGATATTAAAAACAGAACTAAAACAGCCCTCTTATGCCCATATTGTAAAATCAACTCCTGCTATCCAGAAAGCTCCCGAGCAGCGACGCACCAAACACGCCCTCATTGTAACTGCCAAAACAGAAAACAAGAAGGAAACCGTGGAGGCCTGGCGCAAAAGTTTTTCTTTTAAAAACACCACATTTGCTCCATCCAAAGTAACACCCTTGTCAAACACTAAGTTGTGTGTTGAATTCGATACTGCAGAACAAAGGGATTATGTAATTAAAAATATAAATGAAAACGAAAGCAAAGTGACTGTTCAAGCTGCTAAAAAATTGCGACCGATGATTCAACTGAAAGGAATTTCAAAAGACGTCCCAGTTGACGAACTGGTGGATATTTTCAAGCGACAGAACCCTTCAATTAATGATTTAGCTCAAACCGATACTGACATTGTCCTACGATTTCAACGTAAAAACAAAAATAATGACTTATATAATGCTGTACTTATTGTAACACCCCCAATTTGGAAAAATGTAATCAAAATGGAACGCGTCAATATTGATCATCAAAAAATATATGTTGAACAGTTCTCAGCTCATCTTCAATGTTTTAAATGCTTACAGTTCGGTCATATTAAGAAATTTTGTACATCAGATACGCAACCGTGTTCCCACTGCGCATCTCAGACACACACTTTCATCAACTGCCCAAATAAAAATAATGAAGCTCAGCTGTGTTGCATTAACTGTAATACTTACAATCAAAAACACAAAACCACTAGAGATACAAAACATTCCGCTACATCAAATACTTGCCCCACCGTCTGTACTATGATTGCACGTGCTATTGAAAAAACCGATTATGGATATTAAGCCCAATAAGAAAATTATCCTACGAAACTCATCTCAAACTCAACGAAATCAGCATATTAATCGAAAGGAATGTGTTAAAAATCTTAATTTTATCAATTTTGTACAATGCAATCTTGGACGCTGCAAGGAAGCGCAGCACGAGCTTGCTATATTTTTGAGCGAAAATGACATTCATGTGGCCCTTATAAATGAACCCTATTTGGGAGAAACAAACTTAATGAAAAAAGTTGATGGATACAAAATATACCAGTTCCCATCAAATAGACCTGTTAAAGCTTGCATATTAATAAAAGAAAATTCATTTAGCACTCTTGGCATCTCAGAATACTCCAACTCTAACTGTTCCATAGTACAAATAAACAAGGCTGGCAAACATATCTACCTCCTTAGTGTATATATAGAACCACGTAGTGATATATATGATACCATGAATCAACTCAAACTATTTCTAGAGAAAACTAAAGATGCGCGTCACATAATTAGAGGTGACTTCAACGGCTGGCACTGCCTCTGGAACTCCAAATTAAATAACAAAAGAGGGAACACAATAGTCAATTTTATACATACTAATGACCTAGAAGTTTGCAATCAGGGCAATACGCCCACTTTTGAAACTACTACACATGGTGTACACAGAGACTCAATTATTGACCTTACACTAACCAGTAACTCCCTAGTAAACCATGTTATTGATTGGAAAGTTAATCTTGAAATATGCCCCTCTTCAGATCATAATGGTATTGAATTTAAATTACTTTTAGATGATCATAGCATAAAGAAAAATAAAAAACTGTCAACTTATAGATACCACACTACCCGCATAAATTGGGACACAATAGAAGAAATATTCAAAAAAGAAATTGACAAAGCCCTTCCAATACAAGATAATATAAATAAATTAGATACAGTGCAACTAGAAAGTTTTATAGTTAACATGACACTTGCAATACAAAATGCATGCGATCTAATTCTGCCTCGTGCTCGAAGCAAAAAATCACAAAACCCTTGGTGGTCCACAGAATTAGAGAATATGAAAAAGGAGCTCATAAAAAAACACCACACAATTCATCAACTCAAGCGTCGAGGCCTATCACTAACGGAAGCACTTGATGAGCGTAACAAATTGAAAGCAGAGTATACTGAAGCATTAAAAAACGCCTCCATCTCGAATTTTAAAGAATTCTGTAACAAACAGGGCAAAGATGATGTCTGGTCACTGACCAATAAATTACTTAAAACTAAACCTTTAACTCAACCACCATCGACAGTAAAATTAAAAAACGGTTGTTACACTGTAAATACTACCGAGGCGGCAAATGTATTTCTAAATGTAACTTCCCCGATGATACACCTGATTTGACAGAACAACAGCGTGAAGCAAGGTTACTCATGGAAATCTCTCCAGAGACAACTTCCGACCCGTTATTTACCACTGAAGAGATCTTGGACTGCCTTAAAGTTATGAATCCTAACAAGTCACCAGGGCCCGATCATCTAACGTCAGACATTTGCCTAATGTTTGCGAAATTGTATCCTTCAATGGTCACTTCAATAATGAACAGATGTTTGGAGCTAAAATATTTCCCGAAAATATGGAAGAAAGCATATATCAAAATAATACCAAAACCAAACAAATCTGACTACTACGATACTGCCGCTTACCGACCTATAGGATTAATAAACGTTTTTGGAAAGCTATTGGAGAAATTGATAATTCAAAGAATCACACACCACATTAACAGTAATAATTTTGCATGCAATAACCAATATGGATTTAAAGAACAAACTGGTACCGTACATGCCTTAAAGAAAGTAATAGATACAGTTAAACAATCCAAATCAAACAATGAACATGTCATAGCTATTTCGTTGGACATACAAGCGGCGTTCAACAATGCTTGGTGGCCATTAATCTTCAAAAGACTGCACAAAATCAAATGTCCTAAAAATTTATACGACATAATGCTTAGCTATGTTCAAGATAGGAAAGCGCAGATTGATTTTGCAGATAGCTCAGCTACAAAGACACTCACACGCGGCTGCATTTAAGGATCAGTTTGTGGACCAACTTGTTGGAATCTGATCTTGGATGAACTTTTAGAATGTAAACTACCAGGAGGGTGTCACATACAAGCATTCGCGGATGATGTGACGCTCATTGTTCATGACAAAAATTTAGAAGTGCTACAGAACAAAACCAACCAAGCTTTAGAGATGATCACCAAATGGGGATTCAATACAAAATTGACATTCGGACCTCAAAAGACGCAGGCAATAGCATTCACTAGAAAAGCTGAGAAAAGCATAATAAAAATTAATAACCATCCTGTACATTTTAAAAATACAATAAAGCTCCTTGGCATTATCATTGATAAAAAACTGAATTTCACTCAACATATTAAATCCGTCATTGATAAAGCGCAAAATATATATCAAAAACTCATTAGATTTGTCAGACCTACGTGGGGTTTACATGGAGATAATATAGACACAATATACAAACAAGTAATAGAGCCAATCATCTGCTATGCTTCTAGCATATGGCACGATGCAATAAAATTTGAATGTGTCCGGAAAAAACTTCTGTCGCTACAAAGAGGTTTTGCCATAAAAATAGTACGCGGATTCCGAACCCTTAGTACAGCAGCGTCCATTTCACTAGCTAACCTAATACCCTTGCCTGCAAAAATTTTAGAAACTGCTGAAATTGAAAGTACAAGAATAACAGGAATATCAAAATTTTTACCTCAAGATATCACACTTGACGGACCAGCTCAACCTTCAACAATTATTCATCCAGCTAATAGAGTTAAAATAAATTTCAATATAGCTTCAAAATATGAACATATAGTAGAACATGTACCTCCAGACATTTACCAAATATATACTGATGGTAGCAAAACTGATGGAAATGTTGGAGCAGCATTTGTAGTCCATAGCCCGGATGGGAGAAAAATAGTCAAAAAATTTAAATTACACAAATGTTGCTCAATATTTCAAGCAGAATTATTAGCAATCAATAAGGCTTGCCATTGGATCTATTCAAATAAAATAAGCAAAACAGTCATTTTATCAGACAGTCAATCGGGATTAATAGAGCTAAATAATCGATACAGTAGAAACAGACTTGCAAACGAAATTCAAGATACAATATATAAAGTTAAATCTCTTAATTACGCCGTAGACTTCGTTTGGGTAAAAGGACATGCGGGCATCATAGGAAATGAAGAAGCAGACGTAGCAGCAAAATCTGCAGCAATGAGTCACAACAAAATAGTATATTCAATGTTTCCCCTAAGTTATATAAAGACGAAATGTCAACAAGCCGCAAATGACTTATATATGGAAATAAACAATTGCAGACATACTAAGAGATGGTGTCCCACATTCGAAATTCTACAAAAAAAATCAAGTGTCTTAAACCCAATTTTCAATTAACTCAAATCTTTACAAATCATGGCTTTCATAAAGAATACTTATACAGATTCAAAATAGTAAGTAACGATCGCTGCCCTTGTGACAATTCCTCGATACAATCAATAGAATAACTTATTAAAAAATGCCCAAAATACGGAACAATAAGACAGAATCATGAAATAATATCAAGTATGTTTAAAGTAGATCCGTATAATATTATAGAAGTAATATCCAAAGAAAGTACAACTGCCTCCTTTACAAAACTCATTCATTGTATAATTAATTCGTTAAAAGAATTTAACAAACCCAATTCCAGCAGCTAGAATTCTAAAAAAAAAAAAAAAAAAAAAAAAAAAAAAAAAAAAAAAAAAAAAAAAAAAAAAAAAAAAAAAAAAAAAAAAAAAAAAAAAAACCTAACCTAACCTAACCTTTTTTTTTTTTTACATGGGGAAATGCCTACGCATACCCGCCTCGCGGGGGCAAGGACGGGTTATGTCGGACTCGCACCGACTAAAACCCCATGGTGTTCCAACCTCGTCGCATATTGGCAGGGCCACGGGAACACTTTCGCGGCCCCACCTGCGCTGGCCGCCCCATGGCGGCCCCTCCTTGGGAGAGGACCACTCCTCCCCCATCTCCCTCTCAGGTAAGGCGCACCAGAACACATGGCGCGCCCTCCTCCTCGGCCTCCAATTTCACATGCGCAACGGACGCCCCCGTGTCCGATGCGCGAAGGCCATGGGGCCAGGAAAAACTAGCACTCAGAAGCACCAGCCTTCCTGACCCCAGCGGCGGATCTGGTCTATGGCTCCGCCGCCAACCAAGATTCGGCTGCGGAGGGTAGGGAGAGCGGCGCCTTGCAATACCGACACTCCTCTCCCCCCGCAGCCCCACCACCACCGCATTACTCAACGGTGCGGCCCCGTCTGAGTCGCGGAGGATAGGGCGAGTGGCGCATCGCCATACCAGCACGCCTCCTCCTCCGCGACTGCACCTCGGCTGCAGCGATAGAGGGAGCGGACAGCCCTCTCGCAGCATCCCACCGACACACATCCGAAGTGGGCTTCCCAAGCCCACTCGGAGTGGCCAACTCGGGCCGGCCCTACACCACGGGCCAGCCAAGGGGTTCCTCTTTGTTCACCGTGGTTGATCAAGCCACGGCTACTAAGCCCCCCCGCCACGACAAGGCGGGAACCCGTTCGGGGGGGGAACCTAACCTAACCTAACCTAACCTTTTTTTTTTTTTTTTTTTTCGTGGGGAAATCCTCATGGATACCTCCGGCTGCGGGGGCAACCGGAAGGTTATGCCGGACTCCTACCGGCTAAAACCCCACGGTGCCTCCTCGCACGTGCGCGTGGGGCCGCGGGAATCCAAATTCTTCCGCAGCCCCACACTAGTGCTGGCCCGGTCTGTCCGGGCCTCGTCTCCTGCTCGGGGTAGCGAGGTGTTCAGCTACCCCTCTCCACAGCCTCCAACTCCACCTGCGTATAGGACCCCCCCGAGTCCGATACGCGGAGGCCATGGGGCCCGGAAAATCGTGCGCTTAACAGCGCCCTCTTTCCCGACCCCAGCGGCGGATCTGGTCTCGGGCTCCGCCGCCAACCAAGTTTCGGCCGCGGAGGGTAGGGAGAGCGGCGCCTCGCAATACCGACACTCCTCTCCCCCCGCGGCCCCACCACCACCGCATCAACGGTGCGGCCCCGTTTGAGTCGCGGAGGATAGGGCGAGTGGCGCATCGCCATACCAACACTCCTCTTCCTCCGCGACTCGACCTCGGCTGCAGCGGTAGAGGGTTGCGGACTCCCCTCCCACCGCAGCCCACCAACACACATCCGAAGTGGGCTTCCCAAGCCCACTTGGAGTGGCCACCTCGGGCCGGCCCTACACCTCGGGCCAGCCAAGGGGTTCCTCTTCGTTCACCGTGGTTGACCAAGCCACGGCTACTAAGCCCCCCCGCCACGACAAGGCGGGAACCCGTTCGGGGGGGAACCTAACCTAACCTAACCTTTTTTTTTTTTTTTACGGGGGGAAATCCTCATGGACTGTGTTCCAAAAACACGAACTAGACATACAAAACTTTTTGCTACTGCCCTTAAAAAAACTAACTATGCTCAAAATTCGATTGTCAATAGGCTTCACAGAATTTATAATAAAACATTTAATACAATTGATATCTTTCACTCTAGTAAAACTTCATTCAAACGTGAAGTTGCCAAGGTACTTTGTAAGAATATGTCAGATTATAAACTAATCTATAAATTTAAATAGTAAATAGCAGTAATAATATAAATGCAAGAAAGTTTTTATAGCAGGTACTAATTGGATACATAAATATACATTATAATTTACATACATCATGTTTATATTTATTACATTTTTCTATTTATTTTTAAAATTTCCTTATTTAATTAAACTTTGTATTACGTTCACACACACACACACACACACACACACACACACACACACACACACACACACACACACACACACACACACACACACACACACACACACACACACACACACATACACAAACTCACATTCACTCACATTCACTCACTCTCACTTACACACACAAACATACACACTCTTCCGCACTTAAACAAATTTCGAGCGCTTTGTTTACCTTTAAATATTTTTATATTTCATACTTCTATTTTTATGTAAGGTGGTGAATACTTTGTGACGTTATATGTTGATTTTTAGCTTAATAAGTATATTGTAAATCCGTAATTGGCTTCAAGACCTACTTTATAGATTTTGAGTGTAAATAGATTGTTACAAGCTGTGGATTTTGTGAATAAAATAAAATAAAATAAAAAAAAAATAAAGACTACCTCCGCCTGGGGAAAGGCGGAGGGGCGTGCCGGACTCTTACCGGCTAAAACCACCCCGGTGTCTCCTCACACGTGCGCGTGGGGCCGCGGGAATCCAAATTCTTCCGCAGCCCCACACTAGTGCTGGCCCGGTCTGTCCGGGCCTCGTCTCCTGCACGGGGTAGTGAGGTGTTAAACTACCCCGTGTATCGCCTCAGGGGCGCGCGCCGACACCCGCGCGCGCCTCCGCCTCGGGTCCATCGAGTAGGGGTGGCGGGGGCTTCCCCAAGTCCCTCGCCCCTGGACCCATTTATGGGGGCCGGAAAAGGGCGTTGTCCGCCCTTCTCCTGCGCCCGGTACGCCTTCTGCGGCCAGGGAAGGGAGTCGAGATCTCCCTTTCCCGTTCCGCAGTTTCCTTCTGCGACATCACGTCCTCGCAGAAGGACACCACTGCATCCCACGACTCTGCGCTACCGACCATCTTCCGCACTAATGCCGGCAGCGACAGATCGCCTCCTACTTTATTTGTGAGGACACGGCGCTGCTCCTCCCAAGCTACACACTCGGCGAGTGTGTGTTGCGCCGTGTCCTCCCCGCAATGGACGCAGTGGTGGCACCGAGCGTCCGGCTCCCTGTCTATGCGGCGCAGGTACTTGCCGAAGCAGCCATGCCCCGACAGCACTTGCGTCACCCTAAACGACAGGGAGCCGTGCCTTCTCCCGAGCCAGTCGTCGAGTACTGGCCGGATCGCCTCGACGGTAGCGAGGCCGGAACCTAACCTAACCTAACCTAACCTTTTTTTTTTTTTTTTTACA